TAATACTTTGGAACAATGTTAGGAACAACTAGAACAACTTGGAACAACTTTAAAAATAACGAATTTCCAAACATGGGGGGCTATCTCAAAAACGGTTTTTTTGCCTGACAGCTTCAAATTTGAGTTTTTTCAAATAATACTTTGGAACAATGTTAGGAACAACTAGAACAACTTGGAACAACTAAAAAAGTATTGAATTTCAAAACATGGGGGGCTACCATAAAAACGTTTTTTTTGTCTGGCAGCTTCAAATTTGAATATTTTCAAATAATACTTTGGAACAATGTTCGGAACAACTAGAACAACTTGGGACAACTAAAAAAATATTGAATTTCCAAACATGGGGGGCTACCATAAAAACGTTTTTTTTGTCTGGCAGCTTCAAATTTGAATATTTTCAAATAATACTTTGGAACAATGTTCGGAACAACTAGAACAACTTGGAACAACTAAAAAAATATTGAATTTCCAAACATGGGGGGCTACCATAAAAACGTTTTTTTTGTCTGGCAGCTTCAAATTTGAATATTTTCAAATAAACCTTTGGAACAATGTTCGGAACAACTAGAACAACTTGGAACAACTAAAATAATATTGAATTTCCAAACATGGGGGGCTACCATAGAAAAACGGTTTTTCTTGTCTGGCAGCTTCAAATTTTAGTTTTTTCAAATAATACTTTGGAACATTGTAGAACAAACATAGAACAACCCAGAACAACCTAGATAATAATAAAATTCAAAAAGTGGGGGGCTAACTTCACAGAGTTGCTGACTCTGGGTTATGGTGGGATCAACATCGCCAGGCATGTTATGATGACTTGACGTTTCGGCTGAGTCAACAGACGTAACTAGATACGGTACGCTCATACTTGCATCAAACAAAAACTGATCCCACGGCAGCGCGAACGGGACGGCGAGATCCGCGTCACTGCATTACCGACCCGAACGAAACAGCACGTTAAGTTTCAACGGCAGCGCAAACGAGACGGCGAGATCCACGTCACTGCATTACCGACCAATCAGGCGACCAGTACTCGACGTCACTACCGAATAAGATTCAAAACAAACAACAATTTTTATGAAAAAATATATTTTATAGTACTTACGAATGAAAAGTTATGCCGTGGGTTTTATTTTAAGTTCTTGAGCAATTTGAGCACTTTTTAAAAATACACTTAGGGATTGTTTTATCATATAAACACAAAATATTAGCAATATTTCTTTTTGGCGTTCACATGTACGTTGTTTGCATGTCAAGTTGTGACTAAAGCGATTAGGGTCGTGGACCACAATTGGTATGGATCACTTTTGTGAAGCTAGTGCCGTATCTACCCTTTTTGTTTTAATCTAAGGCTTGCACAGATTAACTAGCTTCTCTTTGTCGTCATTGTCGTCCGTCCCTCTCTAACTTAGATACTTTTATGGGCGTAGAACAGGACGCGGCACAAGCCAATGTACAATCACTGTATTTTGCGATCAAGAATAAGGCCTTTAGACTACGTAGACAAGACAAAGCGCTGGGTAAGCACGTGCCTCTTTTTGTCCGACTACCTACATGCGCTCGACATTTTATCATTTTCATCTCTATGCTTAACACGTTACATCCAGTAAGTAGACACTACATACAGCAAGAGACGTGATAGGAAAGTGTCGAGTTAAGCCAAGCGGCGGGTTACTGACTGTGACGTATTAAGCATAGAGACGAAATAAATAAATGACGAGTTGTCATCGCAACCGTTAAGACAACAAAAACGTAAAATCACTATTAAACAATAATTGTAACACGTATTTTATTTGCTTTTTGATGGTCCACTCATCGGTAACAAAAATAACAATCGATTATAATGTATAACTAATAGGGTACTATGGCATCACTATTTTTACGATAAATAAACAAACGTCAGATATCCGGCTCAAAATATAAACAGTACTATGACTAAAATTATTTCTAAAATTATTCCCTGTTCAAAATAACCATTCTGATAGACCATCGTACGTATAAATTAAAGAAAATAATTATCATAATAATTTATCTTGAGGCATGAGACAAAGCTGTACCAAACCTGGACATTCTCCTTTAAATATTCTATACTTAAATTGTTTCGAAAAATAAATAATAGCTTAATAAAAAAAATATTTAAAAAAAAAATACCGAGCTCAGGATCGAACCACCGATCAGTTGGTGTCGAACCCAAGACCGTTACCGTTTAGCTATCCATCTCATGTGGTGCATGACAAATTACGGATACCTATCTTGTGTCAAATACTCTACTTCCGTTTCATCGAATCTCAAATCACAACGGTGCTACATGTTTTCACTTCAAAGGAGTCAACCCTTAGTTTTAACGCTATAAAACTCGTGCGGTTTTTCGCTTCGCGCTCTTTGTTGACAGTGAGACGTCGCTCGGTATGATGACTGCATGTAGTATTTAATACCGTATTATAAGAAATCAAAGGACTGGCATGACGATAGTACCTATATAAGAATTCATAACAAATTATGAATGAGAACCAGATTTTTTTTGTTTCTTAGGTTTTCACGCACATCACTCATTAAATAAAACTAGTTTTTACGGGTTAATGCACGAAACTTTATTTATTTATTGACGTTTCGCAGCCTTTTCAGGTCTGCATCGTCAGAATAATGATTTTATTTAAAATTGTCGAGCTACCTTCGAAAGAATTATATTGTGCGTTCGGTTATTTCATTGGAAGATTTTTAAAATTTTATTGTCTATGTATGAATTTATTATTTAATTTACTTAATAAAGTATTTTATTTAAAATTCTAGTTTGTAATTTTGAGTTTATTTATTTGACCCTAACTACCGTAAACTACCACCGGTTCCAAAATTGGGAGACCTTCCTGAGAAGAACCGGCGAAACAAACTCAAGAGAGGCTTTCTATCTCCTTCTTATGTTAAATTATGCAAACAAAAAGAACTAATAGTATCTGATGGTCTTGCAGTGTGTGCTCGGGGTTGGGATTTTATCTCCTGTATAATAGGTTCCCAAGCTGGTGGTATATACCAACCATCTTCCCTATTGAAATTTGGATATTTTTTAATCTCAATAGCCTCGCGCATCATTCGAGGAACGAACCGCCGCTCAGCTAATAAAAATAAAACTAGTTTTTACGGGTTAATGCACGAAACTTTATTTATTTATTGACGTTTCGCAGCCTTTTCAGGTCTGCATCGTCAGAATAATGATTTTATTTAAAATTGTCGAGCTACCTTCGAAAGAATTATATTGTGCGTTCGGTTATTTCATTGGAAGATTTTTAAAATTTTATTGTCTATGTATGAATTTATTATTTAATTTACTTAATAAAGTATTTTATTTAAAATTCTAGTTTGTAATTTTGAGTTTATTTATTTGACCCTAACTACCGTAAACTACCACCGGTTCCAAAATTGGGAGACCTTCCTGAGAAGAACCGGCGAAACAAACTCAAGAGAGGCTTTCTATCTCCTTCTTATGTTAAATTATGCAAACAAAAAGAACTAATAGTATCTGATGGTCTTGCAGTGTGTGCTCGGGGTTGGGATTTCAGCTGAGCGGCGGTTCGTTCCTCGAATGATGCGCGAGGCTATTGAGATTAAAAAATATCCAAATTTCAATAGGGAAGATGGTTGGTATATACCACCAGCTTGGGAACCTATTATACAGGAGATAAAATCCCAACCCCGAGCACACACTGCAAGACCATCAGATACTATTAGTTCTTTTTGTTTGCATAATTTAACATAAGAAGGAGATAGAAAGCCTCTCTTGAGTTTGTTTCGCCGGTTCTTCTCAGGAAGGTCTCCCAATTTTGGAACCAGTGGTAGTTTACGGTAGTTAGGGTCAAATAAATAAACTCAAAATTACAAACTAGAATTTTAAATAAAATACTTTATTAAGTAAATTAAATAATAAATTCATACATAGACAATAAAATTTCAAAAATCTTCCAATGAAATAACCGAACGCACAATATAATTCTTTCGAAGGTAGCTCGACAATTTTAAATAAAATCATTATTCTGACGATGCAGACCTGAAAAGGCTGCGAAACGTCAATAAATAAATAAAGTTTCGTGCATTAACCCGTGAGAACCAGATTTGTGAAACCCCCCAAACAAAAAAAAATTGTGAAAAAAATAACACTTCCCGCCTAAATTATCGCGATTTCGCAGAACCGTTAGAAAAACACTTTGTTGTCCGTCTGTCTACCAAGTCCCTTTGTCTCAGGAACGCGTGGTTTTCCCTTGAAACAATATTTAAACTAATATTATGAAGAGGAAAGATTTGTATGTAAGTATGTTTGTAACGAATTGGCTCGAAAAGGACAGGACCGATTTTAAAAATTCTTTCACCACTTGAATGCTACATTATCACTGATTAATATAGGCTATAGTGTATTTTCAAAAATGTTAGGGTTCCGTAAGAAAACTCCGATAATGTAACCCAACGTGCGTAAAAATTTATGATAAGTCAAGGTATTAATATGCTTTGTATGGACATATGCTTGTTAGCTGTTTGTTTGGCATAAAAATAACTATAAATGTACGCAACAGAAAGGGGTAGGAATAGGGGTGACGACGGAGTAAAGTAAACGAAATTCTATTTAGTCCGTCAGTTAGATGATCAAAAAATAATGGACACGTATTTTTTCTTTGGTCAATCAACCAAAAAATGACAGAGATAAAACGCGTCAAAGATTGTGAGTGGGGCATGCATCGTGACGTCAATTTTAAGTAAATATTGTAACAAAACGTGACGTAATGTGACTTTTCAAATCAATATATCTATGTAATGTTTTGATTATGTAAAGAAAGAAAAAATACGTGCATAATGCTTTTTGATAATCTACTTGATACACGAAGAAAAAGAAGTTAGTCGTCATCCTGGTTGATCACAAAATACTAATAGACGCGTAGATGTGGTTACATCTCTGTACTAAATATGTTTCAGATACTAATATTTTTCTAATTCAGATTCATCTGTTGTTTCAGGTTAAGATTTAAAAATGTCGAAACGCTATCCGCCTGATAACCTGGGAATGCGTCAACGTGCACTCAACGCGAGAGTAAAAGAGGCTTTTGTCAACAACGTCAAATTCGAAGACTTAGAAGACACAGCCGAAACATCTGAAGTTGACAAGTTATTCAAAATAGACCTCGCTGCAAAATACAAACATGTTGATTATATACTTGAAATGCTTAAGTCTGCAGATAGCCTATATACCACTAGAGCTCTTAAGAGGAGCTTGTGGCTCTTTAATGATGAATACAGACATATAATCAATCCTGAATACCTACACAATAATATTTTCCCCCACACTTCACTCAAAATGAAGAGAAAAATTTTATCAGATGTGTCTCTTCATGTCAGAAGCGAAGACAGAGCTACTCTGTTTTATTCATATTGCGTGAATACCAAATTATTGAGCTTGGCTTTAAAATTTGTATTGTTTACATCTGAATCATTTAAATTAGCTTTACTGCAAGAGAACAAGCCACCCGCTAACTTATTATTTGACAAAGATAAAACTTACCTGAATAATTTTCTTAAGAGATCTTTTCCTTTATATGAAGCCTTATTAAAAATCATGAACAACGATGACAAAACAAGTAGATTTCTTCATGATTTCCAGTGTTGGTATAATTATGATTCTGAGAAATATTTAGATTTAGTAGAAAAGTATGGACGTCAGGCATTTGATCAGACTTATTCTAAAAATATAATGGAGAAACAGAAACTAAGAGTATTAGCCAAACCAGAATTCTATATTAACATTATACATCGAGATGCAATTGTAAAATACAGTACTGCCGCAGATGCAAAAATTTATGCTGTTGCTCTTTTGCCGAAAAATTATTCAAGCTTTTGGGATTATTACTATTATGCCAGTCACAAATACGTATTAGATATTATACCCAAAGAAGACATATATGCTTTCTTAAAAAAAAATTTTCATGAACGATATCCTGGTAAAGAATTCGAGACTTCAAAAGAATTTTATGATCAAAAGTATTATATGTTTATGACAAAGGAAGAACAGGAGGCCTGGGCTTGGGAACACATCAAAAGTGAAAAACAAATATTAGGCGTGGGACGTGACTATATATGGTATGGTTTTGTTAATTTTAATGATGCATTCGATAAAATAAAAAACTTGATTTTAATAAGAAGGGAAACAAGCCCGCGTTACAATATGCTTATAACTCTTATCCGAGCTGCAAAAACTAACAGAGAATTAGAAAAGTTATTCGAATACTACCATAAAAAGCATTTGAATGAAGCGAGAAACAACAAAGAACAATTCTTGTTAAAAGTTATCGAAGATCATAACATTTTTGATTTTGATGAAAGTTGCTGGAAGTCGTTCCACATTCTCTTATTTAGCATGGACTTGTACAACAAGTTAGATCACGCGCCCGATGCGCTCCATGTAAACGATCAGTTTAAAACAGTTTTATTACTTTATCATATTGTTAATGAGAAAGAGATACCCGATCCTTTAATGCAATATGCTCTTGACGATTTTGAGACAGTTAAAATAAAATCGTATCTTGATAAATTAACAGATAAAAAGCGTAACATTTTATACGAATACTTACACTCAATGTTTACAAATAAAGTTTTAGATTATAAAAATGAGCCTTTTACATCGCGTAATGAAAGACAAGTGAAAAGATATTTTAACTGCATTGTATGGTTAATGAAAATATATAACGAAAAATTAGAACCCACAAAGCGAAACCATTATCGCCCAGAACGCAAAAAGCGCTGTATCGACAATCGTCTTTCGGATAGAGAACTTTTACGACGATTAAAAATGGATTCGAACCTAGTCATGTCAGCTTTACCGGAGGTTATGGAACGATTTGAGATAAAGCCTTTTAAAATTAACACTTTTTTGAAAAAAGTGAAACTATACTTTTCAGATGATATTTCGAATGAATACTTGCAATCTTTTGAGAGAAATGTAAATAAGAATTTGAATATGAAAGGAATTGATGCGGCGGTCAATGGTATTTTCCACCTTGCAGATGAGAAATATAAGATCAGTTTTATGAATAAACATGCTCCAAAAAACAATAGAGTTGATTACAACGAAATTGACCCCCAAGAATTACGTGTTCAGAAAGCAATTTGTCGTTACTTTTGTCGATCTCGACCACCAATGCCCCTTGAAAATATTTTAATGTATTTGAAGGGAGATTACGTCAAGCACTGTCTCCATATATTTAATATGTTCCTGCAAAAGCTATCTACTAATTTGTGTTTAAATTTTATCGAATCAATATTAGACTCCCCTGTATCGCTCCAGAAACATGGGATCCGTTTAGCATTTGCTTGTTTTGATACAGAAAATTTGAAAAAACTTATTACCAATCTCTGGAAAAAGAGCAAAAATGTTTCCCTGAGAGGAATCCTATACAAGATCCTTTTTAAAAAAGTAAAAGACGACCATGACAAAGAACTATTCGAGGTGTTGAAATACTATACCATAGATTTGCGCGACGATGATGAAAATGAAATATTTGACTTACTGGTATCCGAAGAATTGCCAGGAATATTCTTAAGTGATTACAATGAAGCGGCGTGGACAGCTGTAGGCAAATTTAGAGATAGGAAGGAACCTAACATTCAGCGCATTAAGAACGTATTACGTTGTATTAGAAAAAATCTAACTTTGATGGATGAACTATTTGTCAGAACGGTTGTTGTCAATCACTTGGAGGAAATGTTCAAGGAGAAAAGAATATACGATTTTTTTCTTAAAGACCGGATCAATAATGGCATATTTGTAGAAAAATGGAAATTGGTTGAGGCTTTCATTATACATGCTACAAGTTTCTCACAGACTCCTACATCATTATCAGTAACATTATCGAATTATGTTACTCAGGCATGCTTAGAATCCTGGAAAGAAGTACATCACGAGGAGTTGATTTATCAGAAGCTATTTTTTCAATTTGTTAAAGGACTCAAAAAAGAGGGTCATAAACAAGATAACTGTGATCCTATAAACGCCATTCCCGTTTTCGAAACGATCATAACCGAATTACAAAAGAGATTGTCTTTGGTTGAAATATACATAGCGGTTTGGGACTTAAAACTGACTATTGTTTATAAAAAAGTAACGCATAATACAATTATTGATTCTACACCATTTATTCAGTTTGGTAGGCAAGTAGGTGAGATTATTGTAGATTACGTCAGAAAAAAACAGTACAATACTTACATGTCCAATGAGATCAAACATTTAATTGAGGGTAACGTTGAGGACCTTCATAAAAAAGCAAGAAAAGCAGATATATGTATTAGTGCTGAAACTGGTCTTATTTTAGTTGCGTCTGGTTTAACGGAACACGAGACGGTGGAGACATATGTCCTTGCAGTTCAGTTGCTTCCGAGCTGTGGTATAACTTGGGACAGTTACAAAACAGTAATAAGCAAAGTTAGTCAGATGGAAGAACCAAATGTACAATGTGCTATACATCTGAATGAAAAGAGACTGTTTATGTAGGTAAACAATAATTTCTTTAAGATATATTATATTTTTGTTACTAATTAACTAGTAAAAATACATAGTTTAATTTAAATATTTGTATACATGTGATAGCTATAAGGATCAAGGATGTAATATGAAAATACCTGAACTATTTTTAGGATTAAGCATCTTTCTTCTGTTCAATAAAATAGCCAGTTAATTATTTTATAAATAAATAAAATTTTTAAATCCATAATATCTTCTTATTTATTACAGAAATCAAGCAAATGGCCCTCTGACCCTACCTTTAAATTAAGCGATTGTGGTTTTGCGAGCGCAATCCGGTTAAATTTCTACACCAAAGCGCTAAAAAGCAAAGCAATGTTCGAGTTTCTCCTGGGGTCGGCATTTTTCATTGCTTTTTTCACTTATAATAATTATTAGTAAAAATCTATCAAAAATTCTTCCTACTCTTACTTAGATAGTTACTTAAACGTATGCTGTAGAGGTGGAGACAGGTGAAGCCGTTGGTCCCAGTTGTATTTGCAGTCGTTAGCACTCGCCAATCCTCACTGGGCCCGCGCGGTAGGTCACGGCTCAATTTTCCTATTCTATCCATAAGGAAGGCCTGTGCTCCAGTAGTGGGGGCATTAATGGGCTGATGATGATTATGCTGTAGAATAAGTGTAGGATACATACATAACAGAAAACCACGAAGTTGTGATGCATCGAAATATAGGTGACATGATAAAACAAACAGTGAGTGACCTGTACCCCTAGCAAGAACCAAAATCGAATTAAAATAGTTTGCGAGTGTAAAATGTAATTGTCAAATGTGTACTGATTATAAGTTATGGCACTGCTGTTCAAATTTTGCACTCGCTTACTTTTACTGAAAACACCGTTTATTTTCCTGTGTAGGTTTTATTTAAACATGCATTTTAGAATTTATTTATTTATGAAAAATTCAATATTTTTTTATTGATTATGGTATCTTACTATGACAAATGAAAGTTGCATAATATTTAACAATCTTGAGTAATAATATGGCCCATGGCAATAACAAGTAATCTAAGCAAGTCTTAGAGCATGCTCTAAGAGATAAAGTAATAATCGTGTTCTTTTGACATAGTTATTGTAACTACACAGTTATTATACTACTGTATAAAAACACCAATTCATTAATAATATAATAATAATAATATTTCCAACACTCACACCAATTAGCCTAGCCCCAAAGTAAGCACTGTAAGGCTTGTGTTATGGGATACTAAGGTAACGGATAGAATACATATATGGTACATATATAAGTATATTTATATGAAATACATATTAAACATCCATGACTGGAGTACAAATGCTCGTATTCATCACACAAACATCTGCCCCCACCGGGATTTGAACCCGGGACCTCTCGAGTCGGCGACGCCATGAAACCCGGCGTATAAACCACTCGGCCACGGAGGTCGTCAATCGTCGTCATTAATAACATTTGTTAATGTAAAACTAGTTTTTACGGGTTAATGCACGAAACTTTATTTATTTATTGAGCCTTTACAGGTTTAGGTAGTTTCTACGACCGGTCAAGTGCAATATACCCTTTCAAGTTGCTGGTGTCTACAAACTTGAATGCGACTGTGGGCTCTCCTACATCGGGCAAACAAAGAGGAGTATAGGGACTCGGGTAAAAGAACATATCGCAGATATGAAACATAGGCGCGAAAATAAGTCTGCAGTGTGTGAACATGCATTAGGGGAACCAAACCATTACATTAGATTTGATAAACCACAGATCTTTGCAACTGAGCAGCGATTCGTTCCTAGAATGATGCGCGAGGCTATTGAGATTAAAAAATATCCAAATTTCAATAGGGAAGATGGTTGGTATATACCACCAGCTTGGGAACCCATTATGCAGGAGATAAAATCCCAACCCCGAGCACACACTGCAAGACCAACGGATACTATTAGTTCTTTTTGTTTGCATAATTTAACGTAAGAAGGAGATAGAAAGCCTCTCTTGAGTTTGTTTCGCCGGTTCTTCTCAGAAAGGTCTCCCAATTTTGGAACCGGTGGTAGTTTACGGTAGTTAGGGTCAAATAAATAAACTCAAAATTACAAAAAAGAATTTTAAATAAAATACTTTATTAAGTAAATGAAATAATAAATTCATACAAAGACAATAAAACTTAAAAAATCGAACAATGAAATAACCGAACGCTCAATAAAAGTCTTTCGAAGGTAGCTAGACAAAATAAATAAAAGTTTGATTCTGACGACGTAGCCTGGAGCTCTACTCTCCGAAACGAAATTTCGATAACGAACGAATTTTAAACGAAATTTCGCCAATAACTCTATTTCATTTTCGAACACGCTTATAAAGTTCGGAATCACATACAATTTTCGTGAACGAATGGAATGAGTCATGTTTGTGAGTTCTTTTATCTCCACTTTTTAGATTATCTGGTATAATTGGAAACAATATTACTTTACTACAAAAATTTTGATGACATTAAACACGGACCTGAAAAAAAGACGGACGTAATATCAAAGGCAAATCATGTGAAGCATGACAATGACATGTAGGTCAGACAAAATCGTGTGTTGTACACTACCTACACTCACACTAATGCACCAGGTCGGACCAGTGTGACCAGATTCAGTATTTTAATACTTTTTCAGTATATTTCATCGATTTTTCCGAACATCAGTATATTTTCAGGTATATTGCTGGCAGTCAGTATTTTTGGGTATATTTTGGTAGAAGTTATGGCAACACCGTAGTGAGTGATCGTCTTTGCGACAATGTTTGCGCAATTCCCCGAAACGCGATCATTGGGGACTTCCCCGGATTTAGTTTACCTATACTTATACATGTTATCTATGAGTAAGTTGCAGATATGACAAGAAAGACGGCCGTTGTCGGCGTTGTAGTATTGTAATACTACATATACAATTATCAATCAATACATAGTATTAATCAGACTTGCAGAATGTATGTTCGCCTAAAACTTTACAACTGCTGGACCGATTTTAATGCGGTTTACACTGTTAGATAGAGCGTGAAGAAATGAAGGAGGTTGTGTAAATTTTAATCCTTCGAAAAGGATGTTAAAATATAACTCTAACATTTATTGTGAGTATGAATAAATAAAATGTGTTAAGAAAATCAGTATTTTTATTGGTATATCTGTCCTATGTAAGTCGGTATATTTCAGTATTTTTTTGAGGTGTCTCGGTATTTTCGTAAAATTTAATCTGGTCACACTGGGTCGGACAATCCGCTGCCATTTGAACTCGCGTGACAGCGCCAGTCACACGTTCAATTGCTCCGATATATTTTTAAAAAAATGCCGTCTTGTGTGGTGAAATCTTTTAAAAACTACACGAGTAAATTTGAAAAGTCACAAGGAATCACCTACTATGCTTAAGTATTGACGATTCTTGATATTTTTTTTATATTATATTTTATTTACAAGGATAAAAATTGTAAACAAAAATACAACTGTGTGGCTACTTTATTTACGGGAAATTTTCCCTAAAAGTAGGGAAATTTGTATTTCTTGCATTTGTGACTAGGCAAGATAAGATTTCGTAAATTTTTAGGGTTCCGTATCCCAAAAGGAAAAGAAAAGAAGCCATATTATTCATAGAATATTTTATATAAATTATAGTCTTTTCTTCTTTCTAATAGGTTTCCTAGAAATAGAAACCGTAGAGATGACTGGATTTGAATTATTCGATACTGCAAAGGGGATAACAATTAGGGACCCATCACCTTCCAGTACTGTGTGCAGTGCACACGTTGTTTGGTTTTCGTTCAAACCTGAGCCTGTAAAGAAGAAATATTAAAAACTAGCGGTCCGCCCTCGCTTCGCTTCGGTGTAGAGCTGAATTGTTGTATTATACACAATGACATTCATCTATGATTTTTCTTATACCTGCATGCAAAGTCTCAGCCCGATCGGTTTAAAATTGACAAAGTTCCATACAAACTTTCATTCCCTATTTTATCCCCTTGGGGGTAGAATTGATAAAATCCTTTCTTAGCGGATGCCTACGTCATAACATCTACCTGCATGCCAAATTTCAGCCCGATCTGTCCAGTGGTTTGGGCTGTGCGTTGATAGATCACTATGTCAGTCAGTCAGTCACCTTTGAGTTTTATATATATAGATACAGTTGAAACCCGTTAACAGAACTACTATACAAATAAACTTTTGAAACCAAATTACGATAACCAAAATTATTACAAAACTAGAGGTCGCCCGCGACTTCGTCTGCGTTAACTTAGTTTCTTGAAAATCCCTCTGGAACCTAACATTTTTTCAGGATAAAAGTAGCCTATGTGTTAATCTAGGGTATCAGCTAACTCCATACCAAATTTTATTAAAATCGCTCCAGCCGTTTAGACGTGAAGAAGTAACAAACATACACACTCACATACTCACAAACTTTCGCATTTATAATATTAGTGTGATGAATTACAGGCAGGACTTGAACCTGCATTTTCTGCTGTCTGGGTGGATGCACTAATTGCTATGCTACCGAGAACTTAATGATCATGACGAATTTCTTCTTGTATTTCTTAGGCTGCACGGTAGTGCCATTTCTTCGCATTGTAGGTAAACCATAGATATAGGATGTAAAGATAGACAGAGTACCTATCGCTACTGTTCCAAAAAAATATCTATAAAAGTGTCGAGTTAGTTTCACAGAATTTCATAATAAATTTTATCTCAGTACGACTTGACAGGGCGCTGCGGCTCTTGCTAAAAATATATTATTAGACGAAAGGTACATCATGTTGCGTCTCTTTCTACGTTATAGGATTGGCATGATATTTCTTTTCCTCACTCTGTCAGTCTTTAAATACCTACTCAATCTATGAATGAAATACTTACATTTGAAAGAAGAAATAGCAATATTAGTCTATTATATTTTTATTTTAAGCATTAATCTGCGCGATTTATGTATATTAATGTATATTATTAACCTCATACATAATATTAAGACACTAACATTTATATGTAAACAATAAAGTTTCTTTTTACATAACAAGTGCTTTCTTTTCTATCTCGGTGTTCCTAAAAATAATTTGATAGACCGTTTAAATTGCTGAAAAATCAGGAGCTCACAACGAGTAAAACACGTGGTAAATATCCCGTTTTTATAATATATATTTGATTACATAATGTTAACAATGTTTTAGTTTGGGAGATTTAAAAAGTAGGGAAATTGATGATTTACCCGACAACCCTGAAATCACGCACACACTGTAAGCGGGCGGCCATTTGCATGCTTCACTCGAGATAAGACGAGGTTACGTCCGTCTTTTTTTCAGGTCCGTGACATTAAAAGAAACTTCTTTGACAGTGTTAGCCGACTAATTTGTAGAGTTGTTGCACTTCATTATATGTCAACCTAAATTTGTCGTTTAATACTTTGAAGTATTGGAAATACAATAATTAATTAAAATTTGGTGTATTTGTTCATTTGACATACTAAAAAATGTTCCTCATGCTAAGCAGCCTTGATTTTAAATACTCTAGCAGTCATTTTAGGCTTAATTTAAACAAAAATGAAAAGGTAACACGGTAAGGTAACAAGGTTGCTTTTCGAACAACTATATGTCAAATTCAACTTTTAGATTGAAAGTTTTGTGAATTAGAGTATAGGAGAATTTAATAGTCAAACTTTTTTCGGACGCACGAATTTTCGAAATGAAAAGGAAACAGAGTAAGAAACGTGCGAAATTAAGATCGATATTTAGTTTTTCGTTGAAATAGAGTAAGCCTGTAAAGGCTACGAAACATCAATAATTATATAATGTTTCGTGCATTAACCAGTAAAAACTAGTTTTATTTAATGAGTGATATGAGTGAAAACCTAAGAAACAAATGTACTCTATTTACGTTTAATTTATTTTTTTGTAATAGCAACTGTGTTAAAAATGGTGCTATTAAAACCATAGGTGATTGAAACATAAAATTAAATAGTATGTGTGCCTGTGCCATTTCAATAATAGTATTGAGGTTGGCTTAGCAGAATCGCCACCCAGGCCGTTTGCTATCGCTCCGGTGCGGCGCAGGTGACTCAAAACCTGACGGGACGGGACGCCCGGCTGATCTAAATGCTTGTCCACATCTTGACAGCTTTCTATTTGCAAGCCCATTCGAAATATAAATGAAACCTTTGAAAAGTTACCACTTTGGTTACCATGTTTCGGAGTAAAACATCGTTCCACTTTTTAATTACATTGCAGATATGAGTAGTAACTATGTAATCTAAAAACAAGATACGTTTTATAACTTAACGATCTCTTATCAGTAGAATCAGGTAATTCTATGATAAAAAATATTTTTATTAAAAAATTACAAACAAACGAAACTTTTTTTATTAAAGAGGGGCGATGAATCCAAACAAACAGCCATCTCGCGAGTTTTTTAAA